CTAGAAAGGTCCATTTACCATTTACCACCTGATGCTTTGCACTGGTTTCTGTATACTAGAAGAAGCTGCACTAACCAATCATTCCACCCAACCAGTGCAGAAATGATATTTGTGTGGTTGTTCTGCAGCAGCCTGGTAATGGTTGCACACCATTTCATCAAAGTAACAACAATGAGATCCTCGTGAGAAATGGCATTTGGTGAAGCACTTTTCAAATTAGAGGCAACAGATGTAACACACACGTGTCCTGCAGGGATTTAATCAACTGAAGAAGAATGCTTTTCTACAGCCTAAAAGTAGTTGTGACAGATACTCATTAGAGTTTAGTACGGACTGCAACACTGACAATTAGAACCATTTCCCTAATAACTTAAGGGAAATTAGTTGCTATTTTGCTACCCATACATATTGTATATGACCTGCTGTGTTGTTTCCTCCCCATTTGTTCATTGGCTGACTTGTTCATTGATTTGTTGATTGGATGAGATGGATAATGTGACTGGCTGAGAGGCTGACTAATGACCACACCCTCTGATTTATGTTCCACACCACCTGACCCTTTTGCAAATAGTGCACCATGGCAGTAGAGCTATAGAACTAAAAATAATAAGCATGACCTTGCACTTCCCTTTACATGTGCCTTTCTCATAGAGCCTGTAGTGCATGGGTTTGAATAACTGAGCCTGATGATGGCAATAAGCATTGCTTGCCTCTCGCAGAGTCGTAAATATGTTTCGTACAGACTAGATGACTGTAATGGGAATGTTATTGGGACAGAATATAGTATAAATGCATGTAAACACTAAAGAGTGAACACACCTGATGTAGCCTATGTTGGTGTTGCAGCTGTGGGGATAGGTACCATCACCGATCTGCAAACAACACAGTTAAAACAGGTTACTTCTGAACACTGTTTTTGATCATCCTCTCCATATCTGAAAAACGTTATTTATATGTTTATTTATCTTCGGGGAAGAAAAAACGTATCAAACAGTCCAATCAGAATGATTGGAGATTTACCTACCTGCTGCTATTTTACAATTGATCTCAATTTATTTCCAGAACTGGAAATAAATGGAGTCAGAAATCACACACTGTCAGGTAACAGTTAATCCACATGTCAAAAGATTTAAATAATTATT